ACAACTGAACTTCATTCATGGCTAGAATCCCAACCGGATCCCCAAATTCTGCTATCAAGCACCGAGAAGACGCGATTCCCATGCTGGGGAGTCTTACCGAACTCCTAACTCACACAACACTCTAACCAAACAACCACTATGGTTGTCTTCCTTCCTGAAAACGATGCGAAACATATCCCAGTTTCAAAGCCGATCCTGCTTCTGTATTCCGAGACGATTCTCCCCCACTTAGATTCAATTAAGTCTTCACAATAAATGAAAATTTGAGAATTCCCAATCCTTCTCACTTTCCAACAATCGATTTGATGACAACCAGACCTTTCCAACTAGTACTCCTTTACTAGCCAACCCCAAATGATCACATGCTTCTAATAACTAGATGAACACTTCCTGAATCCCAGGAAAACCAACAGTCCCTTATGCTCGAATGATCCCACACCCAAATCTCGAAGTCCAAAGATAGATGCTCCAACTAGTGTCTCAACAACGAGCTACTTCCCTTGGCGCTTTCCTCCGCCAATCAATAACGGTTACTAAAACCACTGAATCCTGACAATGCTGAATAACCATCCTGTGGGACCCGGTCCGTAGACCTCCCTCATAATACCCTTCTTCCAAAGGTGCTCCAAACAAGTCTCCCGCTCTCGGGCTCTAGAAATCATTTCATTCAGGGTTCGCACCCTGACTCACTCTCCCGCTCAAAAGTCCACAACTGAACTGCAGTAGCTGAAGCAACCTCTGCCCTAAACCGGGCTACAAACTACCCCCAAGACATAGTCTACAATCCCAAAAGTGAAATAGATCGCACCATCAATCCTTACCGCCTGATACAAGAGATCCAAGGCAAACCGGACCTCATAATTACTCATGCCACGTCGACCCACCTGCGCTCACCGGCGCTGAAATACTATCGCCAATCCCTGTGACTAACTGACCCGAGCTGGAACACAACCTGATCCTGGGGTCCCAAGTCTGCTCACTCCTTCGAGCTCGAAAACTGAAAGGGCATATATCGTTGCCCTATAAAACGACATTCCAATCCACCAATTAACCATTCTACTTCCAGCTGCAAAACCCCAGCTGAACATAATCATCACTCCTTTCTGGAGCCCCGCGACTCACATGCCGGCCTCGAGCAAAACCCCTGAAGCCTCAAATCTAGAAACTCATGTGCTAGGCTCTCCCGCTCAACCCGCGAAATGTAACGAGTACAGAACATCTCCCTAATCACAAATAACTGCAGCCCTCTGCTCATCAGAATATGTCCCAGTAAAAAGTCCCGGTACTAGAAAGCTCGACCAGCTCCTCCCCTTGTCGTCGGTACAACTGTTATAGCTGTCGCGGCAACCGTATCGGCAATGGCTGCATAGTGCTCGTCGAAATACTCAACCATGGCGGTCTTAATAGACCCAAACATCTCCGGAAACTGTTCCCGTACAACCCCGATCACCTCCTCCCGGATGATCTCACTAACACGGTCCTCTGATAATGCTGGCCTATCCTGGCTGCCAGCTCCTGATCCTAACCTGGATCCGATCTCATGTCGTCTCGTAACCACCATTCTGGTAAGACACCAGAAAGATCTCTGATAATCCATATAATGACAGGGGACCAACTCCCAACCAAACCCTAGGGGTTGTGACTTCCTTGCTACGCGTATCTTATGCTTTCAGTAGTACGGGCCCATACTACGTTCCACACCTACCCATATTTGTCTCAAGTATCACCGCAACACCCTAACAATATACATACACATGGTGGTCGCTCAACCTCACTCCTAGAGGCGAAGTATCACCACAACACCCTAACAGTACGGGCCCATACTACCTTCCAATCCCGATAGCACACACTCACACACTAATATAAACACACACACACCTACAGACACACACACAACCACCACCACGCGGCGGCTGGTGGTGGCAGAACAGAAAGGTGGCGATAACCACCATGGTTGGCAGCCATGGTGGTTTTTCCATGGTTTCCGGCCAAAAGGGCACAACCACCCTCGAGTAGCAACACCAAAACGCACGCAAGCGTGAACTGATCACGCAAACCCAACCATCAACGACCTGGAGGCGGCAAGCGGTGGTAGATGGTGGCAGGAAATCGGCAGCAACCGCAATATGGCGTTCGACGGCGGCAGTAGCGCGAGTGGCAGCGACATCCTCGACGAGTTCGGCGCACGACAGCAGCAACCCCGACCCCTCCGGCCTTCCCGTCTGACTTACGTCGGCAACTTCGTCTTCCACAAAGACGGCGCAGCGGCGGCTGGAGGAGGATTGTCCGCTAGCCCTCCCAGTGGTCTTCAATTTCTCCGGTGAGGGAGGATTCGTCGTTGGTCTCGGCTCGTCATAACAGGCGAAGTGGTGGTGGCGCCGGATATAGGAGGGGAAGATGGGTTGTGACGGCTGGAAGAAGGTGGGGTGAGGGAAGGGTGGCAGCTGGTGCATCAACTAGGTTTAGGGTTTAGAGGGTGACGGAAATGAAGATATATACCCGGCTCCATTCAAACTTTGGCCCATAATGACAAAACCGACCCCTCCTTCTCCATTTCCCTTCATATTAAGTCCCAAAATTACCCTTTGATCCTTGCTCCCATAATTCTTTTCAATATGAGTCCAATAATTCCAAAACAACCCCTCCTCTACAAACTATTCTCAATTAAGATCCATAAATTACCATTTCTACCCTAGCTTCAAGAATCCTTCTCAGAATAAATCTGATATTTACTCTTTAACCCTCGAAAATCAAAAGTATATCATTTGACACCCCGAAACCAACACCCCACTAATTAATATTTGATTTTGGACAATAATAACATAATATAAAATAATAATAAAATTACTTCTCGGGGTTCCAGTTTTATCATTAATTATTCTATTTTAAACGGGATGTTACAAATGTTTTGTTCTTTAGACCTGGAAAAATTATATTTGAATTTATCAAATGTCTGTGGTAGTTCGTGAGACTGGTGGCCAACGGTGGTGTTGGTGGTATTCTGATATTCTGACAGGTGGTGGTGGCGGACAGGTGGTCATGATGGCGGATAATGGTGGTAGCAAGTATTGTTCATAAAGTGTTTTGAATTTGTTATATATATATATATATATATATATATATATATACACACACACACACACACACACAGAGAAATGGGTATTTTTTGTATAATAAAAAAATTGAAAAAAAGAAAATACAAAGGGCAAAATCGGTATTTTAATAAAATTCAAAACAAATTGGAGCAAACTTGAAATAAAATGAAAATTTTGGACCTGTGGTGCTACTCCAAAACTTTTTGGACCAAAGTGGTAATTTTCGACATACCACAGGGACCATTTGTGCAGTTTTGTCTTTCCAAATATTAAGCATTTATACACCAAAAACTAGACCATCAAACATAACCAAACATTTTATATAAATTTGATGTTTACTTTTTGCTCAACTCTAAAACAATGTCAACTTGGATAACGGAATTATTGACATGGCCCTCATCCATCCAAAAAGATAAACCACATTCAATGAATACTCTATTTAGACATGTGTCGATAAACCTCGTTTCATAATATGACAAAATAGTTAAAACATAATTTATCATTTATAGTGTTACATTTTATATCATAAAGCTTTATAATGTTATATTTTATATCATAAAACCGATTTACTAAGAGTATATTAGTGGGGTTATTTTAAAAAACTTCTTTTAGATAATTGACATGCTTAGAATTTTTTTTTTCTTCTTAAAACTATGTATAAAATAGAATAAAACAGTTTTCAAATAATGAAATATCAACAATTTATAACATTAAATCATCAAATTAGTGTTGATCATTTTATTTAAACTACTTGTTTTTTCCCACAATCTTCTATTTAAGTTGTTAACCTTTTGGGGACATGATCTTTAAATTTAGACAAGGGGGATCATTCCACAAAAGATGAAACACCCATGATTTATTTGAAAGTACAATTTTCGCCCTTTCTGAAGTTTTAAAATTTTCACTTATGTATCATTATCCAAAAAGTCGTGAGCTATTTGGGAATATCACAACCAACCCAAATCTTCATGTCCTAGGATTCTTGTAAGTCATAGATTGAACGACAAGTAGGTATGTCTTTTTCTAGTTATTTTTCTTAATAAAAAAATATAACAATAAATCGGACGAATTGTAAACATATTTTATTTTATTTTAAATAGCATGATCTTTGACGGCATAAGCTGTAAAGTTTTAATATTAGCAGTTAAAAATTAAGGAGTCATCGTTACCGATGATTATACCTTAAATCACTATAGGATTCTTTTTAAAACAACAGAAAACATCATAATCATAAATTAAGGGGTACTGTTAAACCTCATTAACATCTTTAGCAAAAATCAACCTATAATTAACTATTTATAACTATTTTTTTTCAGAAAACAATGCAATTTCAACCAATAAAAATACTTTAAATAATAAAAATGGTGTCTATGTGGTAAAATAGGGTGTGTTTTTAGCCCAGCCACATATAAATAATTTTCTAATTTAAGCCTCCAAACATATCGCTCACGACCCTCTTTTGTTGTCTATGGCGTAAAACTAGGACTAACATTTCACATAATATCGTTTAATCATCATACATGCTTACAATAAACGTTTAAGTAAAATCCAACAACTCTTTTTGGATTTCTTCATGATGTTTCTTTTATTATTTTCATTTGGTCGTAAAATCACATGGAACAAATCAAATATAGATGTTAACACAAAAAAAAAAATTGGAATTTACAAAGAGATAAAAGATACAAGAGGGACCAATTCATACAACAAAACAAAAAAGAAAAAAAAAATACTAATGTTATGGGTATGCATTTTCCTTAAAATGCCCATAAAGCCACATTTAAATACATGTGTTCATTATATAGTAAACAACAATAAACAATACCTAAAGTGTAAGATTTAAGTTCTGGACATCTCTACTATCTTGAAAAGTCTCAACCACTTGAACTTTAAACGCCGGATCGGGATTTACCAAGAAATCGTCGTGCTATTTTCCGACGAAGTTAATAGTTGTTCAAGATAATCTGCCCCCAAATCCTCAAAAACCACCGTGTTTTGTTCAACGACTTGTTTGATTTTTCTACTCACCGGTTTTTTTCGCAGGGAGTGACGTTTCTTGAGGGCCATTACCGGCGAACACCCTTCTTCAAACCCATATTTCATTTCTTGTAATGATTCCTTCACTCTGTCCACCGGAAAATTCAAAATCGCCGCCGTCCCTCTCATGGAAAATGCGGCTTGATCATACGCCATGGCGGCGGCCTCCGCGCTATCAAACGTTCCTAGCCAAACCCGCACACCGTGCCTAGTGGAGTCCCTTATCTCCGCCGCAAACTTCCCCCATGGCCGTCGTCTCACGCCTCTGTATGACTTTTCTTTCTGGGGTTTATCTGGTTTGGACTCCGATGTTACTTCTTCTTCTTTGACAACGCCGGCGCTGGAGGAATTGGATTCCGACGATTGATCAGCAATAGATGCGCCGCCGTTGGCCGCCAGCATATCAAAAAGAAGCATGTCTTCGGTGTCGTTGAGATTGAAGGGGAGTGAATTGTGGTGGAAGAGGAGCTCGTCCCATGAGTAGGATGATTCTGGTGAGTAATCGGTAGTCGGGAAATGTTGAAAGTAAGAAGTTTCCGCCATGGCTGTGAATTGTGATGGACCAAAGAAAACAGAGTCCTGCTTAGTCTTTATACCCCTTGGAATTGGAACATGTTGATTCGCTTAATAAAATATTAAATATGGTGTATTATTTAATACCCTTAAAAAATTGTTGAAGTATAGTTTTTGTTAAAATAATTTTTATTCTAATTCTCCATTAAGATTTTAACTTGAATTTATCTTTTTGTTTATTGATCATCATCCAAGTGGCATATATTTGGAGCTATAAAAGTTGTTAAACATGTGACAGTTTTTTTTTTTTTTTTTTTTTTTTTTGTTTAAATTATTTTAGAATGGTTAATCTATTAAAAAAATTATTTATATTGTTATAAGTTAATTTTTTTAAATATATACTTTAAATTATAAGCTTATGCAAAGTTTTTTATTCTAATAAGTAAATATTTATTATTATCTATTTCAGATGTTTTATAAATAATATTATTAATTTTGCACATATATTATACTTGGTATTTATATTTTTTTTATTAATTATGTAATTAAAAAATAAAAAATAAAAAAATAATATTACAATCATTATTGTTTATTGTACAAGATTATACAGAAAAATATGTTGAATACTAAAAGAGATTAATAACAAAACTAGTCATATTAAGATTTTCCAAAAACTAAAACTTTCTTCAAAAAAATAAAGTGATTCTAAAATAATAATAAAATCTTCAGAAAAGTCTTAATATTTTAGGAAAATTAACGTTTTAGTCCCAAAAAAAATTAAACAAAAAAACTCAGGAAAGCAGATAAATTGAACATGCCGACCCTTTTCTCCCGGTGACCCTCATTTAAGCGGTATCACTTGTTGTTGTGGCCTTAAGTGGCTTCTGTGGAATCAAAGTCAAAGTCTCATTTATAAATGTCCTAACATTTTAGTCTCTCCTCCTCTCTCGTTTCACCCTTCTCAGTAAACTAGGGTTTTTACCCATTTTGAAGACGTACAATTAGGTGAAAATGGAAGAGATCCATGATTTGGATACCATAGATGTGGAGATTGATGAGTACCTAAAAAGGAAACCAATTTCCCAATGCAAAGACGATTTTCTAAATTTTCTCTATGAAGAGGACGATGATGAAAATTATGGTGCTTAACCTCAAAACAATAAAAAAAAATCGGACAAATAGTATGCGGAAGGTAGGGATGAAGAAGATACTGATGATGATTTCGAGTATTCCGCCCACAACCCAAATGTGAAATGGAACTTAATGAAACAAGTGTGTGGTGAAAGTTATGAATACACACATGAACTGAAATTGTGTTTAATGAACTATGCAATTAGTAGGGGTTATCAAATTCGTTTCAAAAAGTGTGATAGTGTTAGACTGGTGGCAATATGTTGCAGTGATCTAGAGATGTGCCCATTCATGGTTAAGTCCTCTTGGATGAGTACTGAACGTTCCTTCCAAGTCAAAAAGTTTTTAGACATGCATACATGTGTTAGGAATTTTAATAATTCAAAGCTTATGAATCCTATTAGGTTAGCAAGGAAATTTGTGAAGGTGTTGATCAGGAAACCTAACTTAAAATGAAAGGAGATGCAGGTAATTGTACAAAGTTGATTTCATTGCCAAATATCATGCTCAAAATGTTAGAGAGCAAGGACGAGGTCATTGTCATTAATTAATGGAAAATTGAGTAACCACTATGCTAGAGTTTGGGATTATGGACATGTGTTGATGAGATCTAATCCAGACAGTACAATTAAGATTTATGTAATTATAAACCCTGATAATACCACAACATTTCAAAAAACCTACATTTGCTTTAAAGCAATCAGAGAAGGGTTGAAAATGGGATTCCATAAGGTAATAGGGTTAGATGGTTCTTTTTTGAAGGGCGTGGGTGAGCTGTTAATCAAAATATGGAGGGATACAAATAATTAGGTGTATCTTGTAGCCTGAACAGTTGTTGAAGTAGAGAACAAGAATAACTGGAAATGGTTCCTGATTTGGTTAATGATGACCTTGGATTACAGGCTGGAAGGGTTGTGTGTGTAATAAGCGATCAACACAAGGTAAAGTAACTATCTTTTTATTTGTGATTACTTTCTAATTAACTACATTAGTTTGTGTACTTGCTAATTAACTTTTTCATGTGTTAAGGTAGTCATGAATCTTGTAAGGATATTCTACCCTATATTGAGCACATGCAATATGTCATGCATATCTATGCCAATTTTAGAAAAGTTTATAATGGATTGAAGTTCAAAAACATTTTTGGGCAGCTACAAAATCTACAACAAAAGGGGATTTCAATTTTAACATGGAAATGATCAAGGCAATTAGTTATGCTACTTTTGATCATCTCATGGCTAGGTAAATGATGCATGGCTTATTTCTCTACTGGCTTGACTTGTGAGGCTGTAGAGAATGGGGTTGCTGAGTGTTTTAATGCAATCATCATATATTCAAGAAATAAACCTCCACTCATTATGCTTGAAGAGTTTAGGCTTTACATGATGGAAAGGTTTTACATTCTGAAACAAGAGGCTAAAAATTGGGGTGGTGAAGTTTGTCCTTCAGCAATAAAAATGATGAATGAATTTAGTGAAGATATTAAGTAAGTATTTCCAAGTAGTTTGTAGTTCTATGTTTATATTTTCTTTTTATGTACTATCTTATGTGTTTGCAGGAATTTGTATATAGTTCTAAGTGGCTTGAATGCATATGAAGTAAGGAATAGGTTTCAAACTTATGGAGTTCACTTGAAGGGCCACTTATGTACTTGTAGATTATAGGAAATTTTAGGAATACCTTATGTGCATGCACAAGGGGTTATTATGTACACCAATCAAGATCTAGTAAACTTCATAAGTAGTTGGTTCAACAAGAATAATTACAATGTAACTTATGATGTGGATATACTCCTAGTTAATGGAAGTAACTTGTGGGAAGAAACAAGTTACACCAAGCCTCTTTCACTCATTGAAAGGAGGATTCCAGGAAGGCTAGATGTGAAAAGAAGAAGACATGTATCTGAAAATGAAGACAAGTATTCATAGGTGTCAAGAAAGGGTACAACTGTCCAGTGTAAAAATTATCTACAAAGGGTACATAATAAAAAAATCATGCAAGAATCCTAAACTGGTGTCTAAAACTCAACCTAAAACAATAGTCACGTCTGGGTTGGAACCTGATTTGCTTAATTGGTGAGGAACTAGAAGAGGGTCTAGAGGTGGTAGAATGGGTGGTGACAGAAAATATGGTAGAGTTGGTGGTAGGGAGATATAATCCCTAAGGAAAATGTGGTTGAAGACTCTCATAAAAAATGGACAATGAAGTCCCTCATGCAAGTGTGGACAATGAAGCCCTTCATGCAAATGCTGACAATGAAGTCCCTCATGCAAATGTGGACAATGAAGACTCTTGCGCTGATAAGGATGAAATAAAGAGTCACATCTTGAAATTGAGAGCCTCACATTACAGTTTTGAAGATATCATGAATTGCCTTGGTTTAACTGAAGATGAGGTGAATAAGTATGGAGGGTTCAAAGAAGTAGTTGTGGCGATTGACATGTATTTGGTATGGTTTTAAATCTTATATAGTGACATATTTAACGTTTATATCTTGACATTTAATGTATATATTGTGCTTATTATAATATGTTGGTGTTGATACCTAAGAAGTGACAGTTAAGGATGTTGGTAATGATACCTAACAAGTGACAGTTGAGGATATTGGTGTTGATACCCAAGAAGAACCATTCCCTGAAACACAGTTTATGAGAAGTGTGAGAAAAAGGAAGCCTTCAGAGAGGATAAAAAAATTAATGTTCAAGAAGCATATGGTTACCAAGGATGGGATAGGGATGACAGCACAAAAGACAGTTAGTCTATAATAGGGTGTTCCTAAACCCTTCATTTGTTAAAACATGTACAATCTTTAACCAAGGGTAAATTTTGTTAGCCCCTTTTGTACAAAATTTGGCTAGGGAATAACTTGCATATAGTTTAGTTAATATTAATACATGTTTGTCATATTTTAGCTAAAATTAGTCATTATAATGGATGATTCCATTGGTAAATGTTCTGGATGATTTTGCTTGATTTTAGTTAATTATGCTTACATTTTGGTTAATATTAGTCATGGTAATGGATGATTCTATTGGTAATATTAGTCATGGTAGTGGATGGTTCCATTGTTAATATTAGTCATGATTCCAATGTTTAATGATTTCAATTTTGCATAAATAATGTATGATTGCAACCAAAACATTGATGATTTCATACATGATTTCAATGTTAGACGATTTCAGTCATGGTTGATTTCATTGCTTATTGATTCCATTCATGGTTGATGCCATTCTCTATTGATTCAAGTCATGGTTCATTCCATTCTTTATTGATTCCAGTCATGATTATAGTGGACACACTTCTAATTCAAATACATACATAAACTTCTTACTTCATTTCATTATTTGATGATACATTATAACTGCACCTTGATCACATACCATGATTCATAAATCATACTAACGTAACAATCCTTAGTCATAACCAAAACAAACACAGCCAAAACACATTACAACTATTTTCCATTCATAAATCATACTAACCTAACAATCCTTAGTCATAACCAAAACAATAACAACCAAAACACCTTACAACTACTTTCCATTTTGTGCATATCCTACCAGGACTTCAATGTGACTAAAAAAACACAAAAGAAACCACAAACACATAAAACATTGGTTTCCATCTTCCACCAGGATTTCAATGTTGAATGCCCACTTCTTCCACCTGTTGTTGTGGAGGTTGTTGTTCCACAAAGTCTCCAAATATCCCAGGGTTCCTCATTGGTTCTTATTCCAAAAACTCTCCAAATATTCTAAGGTTCTCCAAATTGACATAGTTGTGAAATTCTTGTAAGAGGTTTGAATACCATTGGCAAGTTAGAGGATGATCGACCCAATGAAAGTACATACAATTTTTGAGTTCGTATTGGAAATTTGGGAAGCATATGAACCTTCTTC